TCAGGGTCCCTTAAGATTCCATGTGAATTTTAGGATGGATTTTTTTTTTTTATTTCTGCAAAAAATGCCATTGGGATTTGATATGGGATTTTATTGCATTAAAATCTGCAGATCACTTTGAGTAGTTTTGACATCTTAAAGATATTAAATCTTTTCAGTCCATGAATGCAGCATGTCTTTCCATTTATTTCTGTCTTTAATTACCTTCAGCAATGTTTTATAGTTTCAATGTACAAGTTTACACCTCCTTGGCTAAGTTTATTCCTAAGTGTTTTATTCTTTTTGATTCTAATGTAAATGGAATTGTTTTCTTAATGTTCTTTTCAGATTGTTCATTTTAGTGTATAGAAATGTAACTGATTTTTGTTTGTTGATTTTGTATCCTACAACTTTGCTGAATTCATTTATTAGCACTAATGGTATTATGTGAATTTTTAGGGTCATGTCATTTGTACCTACCTTATATTTTAATATTGTTTTGTAACTTTTTTCATTTAATAAACATTTCAAACATTTTCCCATTTTTAATTCTAAATTTGCCAACATTAGTTAAAACCAAGTTCTCCTGGACAGTACAGAAGTGTTTCCCAGAGCAGCATTTCAGCAGGACATGTGCACGTATGTTCTAGTCACATCTACTCAGTGAGCTATTAGAGTGTAAAAGCCCAGAGACTTTTCGTAACCAAACAAACCAAAGGTTCGTGGGACCACTGAGAGGAGAGGCCCCACTGACCTCGATTGTGCCCTCTCCACTTCTCTGGCCAGCTTCCTCTGCTCAGAGTTTAAGTTTCCATGTTTGGGCCTCCTCTGGGAATCTTTCCCGTGAGGTAAAGGAACAGTTCTACCTGACCCATCATAATCTCAAGCGTCCTTAACATACTCTTTATTCCCTGCCAGATGGAAAGCATTTGTGTTGCTGTTGTCAAATCAGCAAACTCCCGACAGTAGATGGTGCCCTACTGTAGTGGCTCTATCGGAAGAGCCTCAGCAGAGTTCTGTGTGTGGGCTGAAGAGGGCATCTAGGAAAGGGTCCATAGGGCTGACCTGGAAGTGGGGCTTTGAGAAGAAATGCAGGGACAGCAGCATTCTGGTCTGGCATTGATCCAAGAATGGGCGATTGCCAGGTATCTTGAGTGTAGGGTGTGTGTGGATTTATCTTTTGTCTCTGTCTCTATACAAAGAAAGGCCAGACACTGGAGGTAATTGGGAACTCATTTTATCACCATGCTGTGCCACAGGGAAAGTAACTAGCCAAGCCATAAGACTGCTGTCCTCAGCTCCATCTCAGAGAACCCTTGAGAAGAGGCTTGTTCCTACTGACAGACTTGAACGGCTGAAGGTCCCAGTGCTGTGAGGAGGTGGGGACCACGCTAGCACCACGCTGGTGTCTTTGTACAGGTCCACCACTATATTTCATCTCCCGCACATGGCTAAGACAGGAAGCATCCGTGCCAGTTAAACCAGTCACACCTTTCACCAGGGTGCGTCCCGATCTCAGAAATAAATTATTAAAATGTGAAATGGATGCATCTTAGAAATAATGTGACACGGGTGTCTTAATCTGTTTCACAAGATGTTTTTAAGAGTGAATGCGCCCTCCCCATTTTGGCAGATTAGGAAACGGATATTTGAGGAGATTAAACAATTCGCTCAAGGCTGTGTAGCCGTAAGCCACAGGGCTGAGGAATCAACCCAGGGGGGTTAATGCTAAAGCCCAGACCTGTTTCTACCCCCACGCTGCTACCTACTGTGGAGCCAAAACGTGGATCTGACCTTGGCATTCCCCTGCTTCAGAAGTGTCTTTAGAGGAAGGTCTGAGCTCCTGACTGGTGCCTGCTAGGCCCTGGCCATCTCTCTCACTTCACCCATGCTCTGCTCTGCAGTAGTACATCAGGCTGTTTCTTGATTCGATGCTGGTCTCCTCTGCCTGAAATTCCTCTCCCCTTCCCCACTCCACTCTTCTAGCTGACTCCTACTCATCCTTTGGGACCTGGTTCAGCTGTTATTTCTGCAGGAAGCCCCAGTCTGGGTCAGGTGTCTTTCTGCCTGTGGGTCCGTTACTGGATGTCTTACTTGTGAGATTAGTATGATTATGTATCTTTACTTTTTCGGTGCTTAGCCCAATACCAGGCACATAGTAGAAATTCACAATGTAGACTGAGAAAACATCTGGTCTGAAGGACATGGCCTCTAATTGGTACATGTACACCTGAGCCCTCAGCACGGCCTGGCTTAGCCTGTGTGTGCTCTTGGGTAGTCTGGGACCTGTGACTTGCAGGTGTTTCCAATGTGCTTCTTCAGGCACAATATACTACAGTATCTCACAGACTCATGGGGCTGAAAAGCACTTGGGGCTAGGGATGCTCTGCCCTGGTTGCTCATCAAGATTGATGCTGTTATGTAGCACTTTCTGAGTTGAGATGACAGATGCCCAGCTCAAGTTGGCTTAAGCATAAAAGTGAATGAATTGGCCTTTTGGGTTGTCTCTCTTGTATGACAAACTACCCCAAAACTTACTGGTTTAAAACAATAATGGTCTTATTATTTGCTTATGATTCTGCAATTTGGCTGGATTCAGCAGGTTCAGCTCATCTCAGGTCTATGGAGTCTGCTGAGGTGGCTCAGACAACTTGGGCTAGTGTCTCATCATGGGGGAAGTGTGTCTAGAAAGGGCATAGGCATGCAGCGTGGGTCTGGATCCACAGATGAGAAAGCACAGGCTTGAGCACCTCTGGTCCTTCTACCTGTACTATCAGCACCTGCCCTTTCTTACCTTACTGTTTATAATTTTCTGAATTATTCTCTTGACTATTAAGATGAGGCTAGTTAGGGTCTGCCCTGTCCAGGTTCTCTCGCCTCAGGCCTCTGAGTGCATCCTCTGCTGGGTTGGCTCCTTCAAAGCTAGGTCAAGTGAGAGCTGCATTGGGGCTTGCCTTGTGAGAATGAGAGCTCAGAGCACACCGGGACCAAGTCTCCTATGTGTTTGGGACGGCTTTCTGCATGCTGCATGTGCTCCAGAAAAGTGGCCAACAGCACATGGCCTGTCTTCATGCAACTCTGGCCCTTGTATGTGGACCTGGAGATGACTAAGTGGACTCAGGGGCCAGGCTAGGGCTGCCAGCATGATGACAGGGGCCTGTTGTGGTAGCTTTTGTTGTTTTAATAAATACTAGAGATGATATAATAGGTAGTGTGGTTTCTAAACCTTCCGAGAGTTTCTACTGGTTCCAAGGCAAAACAGGGTGCTTGTATTTGCCACGCCTACTCAGAAGTGGCCTTGCACAGCTGTTTCCACTACTACAGGTTAAGCATCCTTAATTCAAAAATTCAAAATCTGAAGTACTACAAAATTGGAAGCTTTTTGAGCACTGACATGTTGCCACAAGTGGAAAAATACCACATCTGACCTCATGTGATGGGTCACAATCAAAATGCAGTCAAAACTTGTGTTTCATGCACAATATTGTTAAAAATATTGTATAAAATTACCTCTAGACTACGTGTATAAGGTATATATGAAACAAAACTGAATTTCATATTTAGACTTAGGTCCCATCCCCAAAATATCTCATGTAAATATTTCAAAATCCAAAAAAATCCAAAACACTTCTGGTCCCAAGAGGTTCAGATAAGGGATACTTCACCTGTACCATGTAATGACCAATGAGAAGGAAAGTGTATCTGTCTGTGGAAGCTCATGGTTGGTTTGACTGCATGACTGTGGCTGTCTGGTGAGCTGGGTGCCACCTGGGGCCCATGCTGGACATTGCCTTTTGGGTACCAGCATTTGATTTTCTGCACTCGTGTGGGAGTCCTGGCAGGACTTTACCGTTCCCGGGTGGCCACTGCCTGCCCCTGCCCCTGCCCAGCTTGCACTTGCTGTGTGAAGCTAGGGGCTGGTGACCCTCGTCCTTGTGTTTACACTGCTTCCTTGTGGGTGACAGAGATAGAACTGCCTCAATTAAGAGATACTTGGCAATAGCCCATTGTCTGTATCAGCAGTTGCTAATGCTCAGTTTGTTGTCATGTATCTGATTTGTCACTGAATAAATATTACTGAGCTACCGCTCACCAGGTACTGTGCTAGAGGCTGAAGAGCAGCGAGACACTTGCAGCCTCTGGCTTCCTTGGCCTGAAAGCAGGCCAGGGAGACAGACAAATGCCCACCAGGCACGAGGTCCTAGGATTACCTTCCACAATCTGCTGTGTTTCAAGCTCTTAAAGTGCTTTCTTCAATCTGGTCTACTCAGCCAGCTTCATGGGCTCTTAGTACAGGCCTGGGCCCTACGGGGCTTCTAAGAACTAATAGCTATAGCCCTTTCTCCTGAAGGAATTGAGCATCTCATTTAACATGGAGTATATTGCTGTGAAGAGGGTTCAGCCAGAAGAGATGTCAAGAAGGCAGACTTTTTTGGACTTTGATATAGCACAAACATACTGGAGGGCTTTTTAGAAGCAGAAGTATGATGAGGGAAGTAATACCTCTTCCTTGCAGTCAGCCATTGGTCCTGCTTACCTGTTAGCCAATTGGAAAGGATGGAGAGTACTTTCTGTCCAGGCGACAAGCCAACATGCAACAGGTAGATGTCTGAAGGTATACCCTGTTTTATTTTCACTAAGCACCTGTGACTCAGGACTATTACCATGAACTACTCATAACTCTTACAAACACATGACCCTGTGTGGCAGACAGGTGGCAGATAAATGCCCAGATGTCCTGTGGGCTTAGCCATTTTCAGTGACAGAATGCTTTGTCCCACTGTTGGACTTTCAGCTACCTCAGGTTGCTTAGAGAGTCTTCTAGCAATTTAGACTTTAACTGAAACTGTTAGATCACTCTACCCTTACTCATGGGTAATTTATCTGTGGCTCATTTTGCCCTAGGTGTGGTGATTAGAGCTATTACTTGAATAACTAGTATTTTAAAATTTTGACTCTACTGCTCTTCTCCATGAATAAAAGCCAAATTAGTTGTTGTATGGGTTTTTCTTTGTTTCCAGGCAAGCCGATTTTCTCAGTTGATATTCACCCTGACGGGACCAAGTTCGCAACTGGAGGACAAGGTACGTTTGTGAAATAAGGGAGGTGTCACACTGCCACCCTTCTCTGTTTCTCCTGTTGTCCATTTGGCTGCTCTGTTTCAGTGTGGATGGTGACTCAGTTTAAAATGTGCATTTATAATCTGTTATCTGAACAGGTTAAATCAAAATCCTTTTTTGGCTCTAGTATGCTCTCTATAAATATTTGGGAGCAGGGTTATTCTAATTTCTGTTTATTGAATTAATATTAAAATCAGTTGTCATCCCCAGGCCCAAGCTTATTGAGCATGGAAAGTAGCAGGTAGTCCTGGGGACAAAGCCCAGCCACAGGGGTGATTTTTCTCATCTGAAAAGGAGGGATGGTTAAGCTTGTATTGTCATGTACTTTCAGGCCTATTTTCTGGTCAAATGAATTTGACTGGGTTAGAGAGAAAGCACAGTGTGGGCAAGTAAGAATTTCTATCCCATTTGAAAAATATCAGGTCATTAAATTAAATGTCCAATTTTGAATCAAAAGTTTAGTTTATGGCTGGGCGCAGTAGCTCATGCCTATAATCCTAGCACTCTGGGAGGCTGAGGTGGGTGGATCGCTCAAGTTTGAAACCAGCCTGAACAAGAGCAAGACCCTGTCTCTACTAAAAAATAGAAATAAATTAATTGGCCAACTAAAAATATATAGAAAAAATTAGCCAGGCATGGTGACTTATGCCTGTAGTCCCAGCTACTCGGGAGGCTGAGGCAGCAGGATTTCTTGAGCCCAGGAGTTTGAGGTTGCTGTGAGCTAGGCTGATGCCACGGCACTGTAGCCTGGGCAACAGAGTGAGACTCTATCTCCAAAAAAAAAAGTTTACTTTATTATATCTCAAACATGAAGCAGTACAGTTAATCACAGCATGTGCCTAAACTATCGACACGGTTTTGCCATCTTAACAGTAGCTTGTGTGTGCCGGCAGTGAAGAAGCCTGGAGAGTGAGTGGCAATGAAAGCCACTCACTCAAAAGACATTTTCCACAGCTTGTCGAGAATTGAATATTTTTCCTTACAAGAAGCAGTCCAAAGCCTGGAAGAAGTGGTAGTCAGTTGGTGCAAGGTCTGGTGAATACAGTGGATGACAGAGAGTTTCCAAGTCCAGCCTCTGTAGTTTGAGCAGCATTGTTTGTGCAACATGTGGTTGAGCACTGTCTTGAAAGAGGATTGGTCTGTCTCTGTTGACCAATCTCGGCTGCTTAATCACAAGCGTCCTCATCATTTCACTCAGTTGGCTACAGGATTCATGTGCTGTAATTGATTAATCAGGTTTCATGAAGCTGTAGTGGATAATACCAGTGTTGGACCACCAAACAGACACCATTAGCTTTTTCTGATGAATATTCAGTTTGGGACCATGTTTTGGCACTTCATCTTTACCCAACCATTGTGCTAAATGCTTGCGAATGTTAGAAATAATCCATTTTCATCACTTGTAACAATACGGTATAGAAATGGTTTGCCTTTATATTCTGACAGCAAAGAAAGGCAAGCTTTGAGACGATTTCTCTTCTGACAGTCATTTAATTCATGCGGAACCAGCTTCTTTACCTTGCTGATTTGTTTCAAATGGTCCAATTTTTTTTTCTTTTTTTCTTTTTTTTTTTTGAGACAGAGTCTCACTCTTTTGCCCAGGCTAGAGTGCCGTGGTGTCAGCCTAGCTCACAGCAACCTCAAACTCCTAGGCTCAAGCGATCCTCCTGCCTCAGGAGTATCTGGGACTACAGGCATGCGCCACCATGCCCGGCTAATTTTTTCAGTATATTTCTAGTTGGCCAATTAATTTGTTTCTTTTTTTAAGTAGAGACAGGGTCTTACTCTTGCTCAGGCTGGTTTTGAACTCCTGACCTTGATTGATCCACCTGCCTCGGCCTCCCAGAGTGCTAGGATTATAGACGTGAGCCACCGGGCCCGGCCCAAATGGTCCAATATTGTTGGAATAGTTAACGTCAAACCTTGCTGCTAATTCACTCATAGGTTGTGGTGGATTCACTTCCACTATAGCTTTCAGCTCATCATTATCCACTTTGGTCTCAGGTCACCCTTGTGACTCATTTTCAAGATTAAAATCACCAGAATGGAATTTCTCAAACCCTTGACATACTGTGCATTCATTAGCCACATTCTTCCCAAATACTTTGTTGATATTTCAAGTTGTCTGCCCTGAATTGGTTCCACAATGGAACTCATATTTGAAAATAACAGGAATTTTTTACTTATCCTTAGTTTCATAAAAATTGCTCTAAAAAATTTTAAAGATAATCACAAGCCAAACCATGTGTTTGAAAGAATGAGGATGTACCATCACAATAAAAATACAATAAGAGATGTCAAAGTGAAATGTCAGAGATAGCAGCTGTCAAACTTAGTGCTTAAGGAAATCAGACATTTCATACTTAATAACCTAATAGCATCTATAGTACTATCAATGTGCTTCAGCTAACATCTGTTGCAATATCGTAGTGACATGACTCTGTTTGGAAAGACAGAGCTCTTTTTTATGCCAAGACACCAAGATGTATACGTGGTAGCCCAATGTGGCATTCCCACAGAGCCTAGTCCCCCAGCTTGACCCCAGAGCAGGGCCTTCCTTCTAGCCAGGCCTCTGTAGGCAGCAACTGGAGAGTGCCTCTGTGAGTTCTGGGTCCTCAGGTGCTGCAGGGTAGGTTGTCAGCAGACCCTTCCAGCCAGAGGCAGGGAGCCAGAAGGGAGTACAGGGAAGCTGTGGGCAGGGAGGCCTTTCTCTGCTTCCTGTGTGCTGTGGACTGCACCTGCAAGGAGGCTGTACTTAGCTTGGGGGAGCAGAAGGTTTGCCCTTCGTCCCCAGAGGAGACACACCTTATCACCTTGCTTTGGATAAGATGTGTAAGGTCCAGCAGAGATGTTTAGGAAATATTTTAACATATTGACCAAAGACAGTTTCAAACATGCTTTGTGGTAATTTTGGCATGTCTGTTGCAAGGTGTTCTTTGGCTTCTTCCCCTCTATGATAGAAAGTTATAAATGAGGGGCTAGACTTTTGTTAGGTATCAGTGATGGAAAGTGCAGAAAGAGAAATCGTTACTAAAATGCATAGGTATATTTTTCAACAGAGCAGTTCATCAGCTTATGACCACAGGAACCCTAAATCCCCTCTTTTGATTGATCTCCTGTCCATAGTTGACTGCAGAGGGCACCTAAGAAGGTAATGAGCCTTTTTCCCTGTGTTCAGGGTACATTTCAAACTGGGTTTCAAAGCAACCAGTCAGCTCTGGAATAGCTGTGGATACCAGGCGACACCTTGAAGGGGAGGAAAACCCTCCAGTGGGGTGTGCTTTTTCTCTTTTTCTTTGTACGGGTACACGTTCACAGACTGGAAAGGGTCTCTGGACACTGACTTTCTGTCCTCATTTTACAAATGAGTCTGGGTCCTGGGCAGGGATGACGACCTTCTGAGGGGCCCTGTGGGATCCGTGTTAGAGGCCAGACCAAAGCTCTGGGTTCCCTCCAGAGTGCTTTTTATAAAGTCGGGTTGGCCTCAACTTACCACTAAAATCACACACTTTCTGGTCCCTATGCATACTTGCTTTCTTCATCTTTTCTGTAGGTTACATTAGTAATTCAAATTGAGTCCCCTTAGATCTAGTTATTTATGATTTGTGGAAGCTAAATAAGGACTTCTCATGGTTATTATTGTATCAATGTCAAATTTCTACTTGCACATAGTTATTTCTGCTCCTTTGTTCCAGGGCAGGATTCTGGGAAGGTTGTGATCTGGAATATGTCTCCAGTCCTCCAGGAGGATGACGAGAAGGATGAAAATATCCCCAAGATGCTTTGCCAGATGGACAATCACTTAGGTATTACAGAGTGGCCCTTTGCAGGCTTTGAGTGTTGGCAGAATGCCCAAGGTTAGCACGTGTGTTTGTAATTAGAAAGATAAGGCCCCGTGCGGCGGTAACTCCCCTCGGCCTGCTGTCTGAAGGCACAGATGTTGGCTGCACACCTGGGTGAGTTATTCAGCAGAAGACTCGGCCCGCCCACAGAACCGTCTTTGGACAGTCCGCAGGTACCTCTGGTGATTTCCTGCTCATGAGTCGTTACTGCCTGATCCCGTGGGGCTTTGGGGCCAGCGACCAAACACTGTAGGGTTCTGGGGAAGGGTCCATAGGAGACAACTCGCCAAAATGTCTCAATCTGGCACTGTGTCACTCTGAGGCTCTCTGCTAGGACCCTTTTGGCTATCGGACAGTGTCGTGGTTTCCCTTCCTGCTGTAGTGCCTTAGTTTTCCACCCCAAGATGCATTAACAGTTACTGGCCTTTGGATGTCAGCCCCTCCTTTGCTCTGTGTGTTCTCGTCCTCCCAACCAGAGGTGGCAGGATGCCTCACAGAGTCCTCGGACCTGGTGCACAAATTACTCACAGACTGCGTGGGCTACAATTTTGCTAGCATCTGTCATATTTCAGGTCTCCCAAAGGCTGAGCTGTGAGTGCTCCTAGAGGCACTGACCCTTCAGGGGCCTGGGGGAATTTCTGCTGGTCTTAGTTTGTAAGTGTAGAATCAATCAATCTGCAGCACTGACATGTTTGGAAAATCCTAATGTGAAAGGGCTGGCTCTGACAGGTGGGATGAGGTCAGAGTTTTATACTCTACCACGCTGCTCTTCTGAAAGTTTTGGAAAAGGCATCTCCACCTTTTTAGCACATGCTTTCATGTTGAGAATAAGCCCTACTCAGAAATACATCTTATCAATAGATGTCCTTTTGGAATGATGAGACTTAGTTATTTATTAGTTTTCTTGGAAATAAGCCTCCTGTTGACTGTTTCACTCAGCACTAACAATTCTCAGGTTATGCTTATTTTCCCCTCAAGACTCCCCCTTTCAGGTTAGAGCTCAAACTGATTTGTTTTTCTGGGCTCTCACACAGTAGATGCCTTATAGATCAGATAGATTAGATTTTATAAACCCTTTACATCTTGCCAAACTCTGCAGAAAGCAAATGGGCATGACTACTGGATTTTCATCACCCTGTTTTTTTTTTTTTTTCTTCCCAGCATGTGTGAACTGTGTGCGGTGGTCAAACAGTGGGATGTATTTAGCTTCTGGGGGAGATGACAAACTGATTATGGTGTGGAAGCGGGCTACGTAAGCATCATTTTCCTTTCTTCACATTTTATTTTTAGAAGCTTCTTTGCTGGTCTTTATCAAAGTCACCTCTCCCCACTCTGTCACTAAAGTCCCCAGAGCTCCGACCTCATACGTAGCAGGAAGTGAGTATAGGTCAGGAGCAGCTGGGGCCTGACCAGGGAGTCGGGAGGCTACCAGCCTTGCCTAGTGACCTGGTCAGCTGCTCCTGGCAGGGCTGCAGGGCTTCCACCTGAAAAGGAAGGGTTATTCCTTCCAGTGCTGATGGAATAGCTTCGTTTTTGTTTTATTCTTCAAATGAGATTTCATATGGAACCCCAGTATACAAAATGGCTAAAAGTCGAGGTGCTCTGTTGGGATCAGGGGCAGGGGGCCCAAAGCTCACCGTCTTTGCCATTGACCTGATGCTTTGTCAGCCTTAACCTGTGACAGCCCCTGCTATGCACCCAAAATGAGCTAACCATCACGTGCAAAACTATTTTTTTTTTTAACACCTAAGCAAAGAATCTCTCAGGGTGGTTCCTGGGACTCTATTCCATAATAAGCCCGCCAGGAAACTCTGGGCCAGTTAGGCTGGGGAATCAGAGCCTGCACTATTGCTCACCAGGAGTGGCACTTCGGCCATGGCTTCAAGAGCGGAGGCATGCTATCTCTTTTAGCCCACTCGGCTGCCTCAGTAAGCTCTCTGTAGGTTTGTGAAGAGCTCTTTAAGAGCAAAGGGTGTTAACAGATACTCTGAGCATCCACAGGCTCTTCTGGTAGGAGTTAGTGCCCACAGTTTGTTTGGTTTCTCCCCTGCAAGTATGAAAACAGGGCCATTTGATTCATTACACAAAGAGCTTAAAAATATTGTTGATTTTGCTGCTTTAAAAAGGTGAAATAAATAATATATTTAGTATACAATTTGGAAAAAAAAATGAAAATATACTCTTATCATCCCATCACCTGAAAAAGCCATGGTTCCTGTTTGTATCCTGGATGGTGAAAAAAATAAATAAATAAAGCCACAGCTGATACTTTGGTATTTTTGAGTGTGTGTCCTTCTGATCTGTTTTCTGTACCTAGATGCTATTCATGTCATATATATTTTTTTCTTTACATAAGTGGTATCATATTATATATGATGTCCTGTAGCCTGCTTCTTTCACTTAGTTTTATGTTGTAGACATTTTCCCATGCAAGATTTGTAATGGCTGTGTAGTATTTCATCAAGTGCATGGATCATAATTTATCTAATCAGCCCCTTCCATTCAGCAACCCTGTGCTTTCGGCCATTGTTCGTTTCTGCTTTGTTCTGTCTGCCATGATAAGCCATGCTGCAGGGAGCGTCTGTGTTCCCTGCCCAGAGCACTCTGTGAATGCCTATCTGGCCCCTCTTTCACACAGGTACATCGGCCCCAGCACCGTGTTTGGCTCCAGTGGTAAGCTTGCTAATGTGGAGCAGTGGCGGTGTGTCTCCATCCTCCGGAATCACTCAGGCGGTGAGTGGGACTGCCTTCTGGAGTGTGTGGGCCCCTGGCAGCTGGCTCAGAGCAGCAACATCACCTCCCTGTGCCCCGTGGGACTCTTTGGTCCTTAAAGCAGCTCTGTGTCTTGGCTGTCCCTCCACATCACCGTCAATCACACCTGCCTGTCCCTCAAGGTCTGTGCAGTTACCGTCTCCACTGCCTGCCTCTGGCTGCATTCAGTCTGCCCACTCTTGCCCTCATGGGGTATATGTTTATATCTTTGATGTAGAACTTTCCACATTCTGCTGTTTATCCTGCTGAACAGACTCATTACCTTCATCAGTGGATCACTAAGTCTGTAAGCGCACTTCAATTATTCCCCAGAAACCAGCCCACAGGTGCCCAGTGAAGAGTTTCTCAACTTGACCTTGAGTATATTTGCAAAGTGTTTTAAGTAGACTCAGTATGGAAAGGGACACATTTTACGGATTTAGACTAAAAAGGAGGATGGTCCATCCCTAACAGTCTGTAGCCTGTGCGCTGTGCACTCAGATGTCATGGATTCAAGAGTGAGTACGATTTAGACTTGTCTCATGAAGCCTGTGGTCCCATTCAGGAATGAACCAAAGGGTTTTCCAGGCACAGGGGAGGACAGCAGAACTAAGAAAGTCTTGGTGTGAGTGGTGGGATGGGGGTATTTCAACATAGCTGGGCCTTTATGTACAAGACAGGGAGCAGTACAAAGTGAGGCTGGCCAGATGTGCCAGGGTCAGGTCATGGAAAGGTCGTATCCTTATTACTGCCCATGTCCCTTATCATGGGAAACACAGGAGCCATTAAGAGCTTTGAAATACAAAGTCATTCTGGCAGCTCTGTGAAATGGAGGCTGTTCTAGTGGTTTGGGTGAATGCTGTGAGGGCTTGAACTAGGCCTGTGGTAATTGAGGTAGAAAGGAAGAGATCAGTTTGGGAATACTTAGGACAGGGCACAAGGAGGGATGAGGTAGATTCCTGGGTGGGTGCCTAGACAGCCAGAAACGTCCTCTGCTGAGACCATAAGGACAGCAGGCTTATGGGGACAGTTCAGTATGGGGTGTGCCTGCTCGGAGGGGTAGGAGAGGAAATGTCAAGAAACTTTAGAATTGAGCCTAGAGCTCTAGGGGAATGTGGGGCTGGAGTGAGAGATGTGGAAGACATGGTCTGTAAACCACTGGCAGTATATGTTCAGTGTACAGTTTAAAGGAGAACAGACCCATCTCTTCATGACCACAGATTCAGTCCACATTTGTGAAGGCTGAAACAGTAGCATTGTGTTACTCTTTTTTTTTTTAATTTTTAAAATTTTTTTTAAATTTTAAATTTTATAAATTTTTAAAATTATTTTATTCTTTTTGGCCAGAGAAAATGTTCAAGACAAGCAAATGTGTTACTCTTTAATAGCAATAAAAATGTGTGATTTCCCTTTTTTTGTGTCACAGTACTCATGGTGAGGTCTAGTGGGGCTTCTCTGGAACTTGATGCACATGTCTATGAGGGTGCCCAGTGAGATGGGGCTTCATGTGAGGTGACTTACAATGTCCTAACCTCAGACTTGACATCTCTCCTGCCCTGCCACCCCATGGGCTCCTTTACCAAGCAGGTAGGGTTGACCACGTTTAGCTGGGGTACCTGCCACTCCTTATTCACTGATCCTGGTAGCAAGTGTGAGCAGAACCATCCAAGAAGGAAAATCAGTGAAAAGCAGAAGTAAATGAATAAGAAAGAACTGAGTCTTTGAAAAGCAAAGTATAAGAAGTATTACTTGATATATTTAATTGAGGGGTGGGGAGAAAAAACCTAGACAAAATTCGAATTAAATGTCTAGAAAAACATTTAACCCAGTTAGAAAAATATCATCAAAGAGAGTGCAATGTAATGTTTATACTATTAAACAAAAGTATAAACCAAAAAACAAAATACTCAAAGATAATTTTCCAGAAAATATAAGTTTTCAAAATTGATACCATAGGGTTAGGAAAACCTGAACAGAGTATAACCAGTGAAGATGTGAAAAGCTATCTTCAGAAATAGTTCCTGATCCTAAATTATTTGTGGATGCATTGTTTTAAGCTTTTAAGAAAAATTATATAGAACTTAGAAATATTTATTCTTCAAAAGAAAACATAATCCTGGTTTTCCAAAACCTAAGAAAAATAATAGTGAAACAAAAGCATAGAGTAATATGAACAGAGACAGAAAAATCAAAAACAATACTAGTGAATGTAATAGCACTTGAAAAGAGTAATTTATTATGATTAAATATGACTTATAATGGAAGAATTTTGTATACAGGGGAATCTATTAATATAACATATTAGGAGGTTAAATACAAAAGGCCACAGAATCATCTTCCATGTTCTAAAAGGAATATTAGATAATTCAGCATCAATTCCTACTATTTTTAGTACTATTTTATTTTTCTACTTTTTAAAGCCCATATAGGGAAGCTATTTCCTTAACATGATAGAGTCCTGCGTACTTTTAAAAGCAGTAGCAAATACCACAGTTCATAGTTAAACCTGGTTTCCATTCGTACCAAGAAAAGACAGTAATGGGTGCTGTCATTTAATCTGTTGCTTTGGAATTTCTGTAGTACAATTAGGTCAGAAGGTAGACAGACTAGAAAGTAAGATAGAAATGAAGTGAAGGTGGCATTATTGCATATCAAGAAAAACCTAAGAAATAAAACTCTTAGAACAAATAAAGTGCTGAGAAACACTTAGAACTAATGAGTCTTTAAATTGGCCTCATATCAGAACAATTTTTAGTTATTCATCTTTCACTAGTAATAGCCAATTAGAATACCTAATGATAAAAAGAAAACTCAGTAAAAAACCAGGAATAAGTAATCTTACCAAGAAATAAATGAGATCTCTAAGATTTAAACCACAACCTTTTTCAAAAGATATAAAATGACCACTTCATAAATGGAAGGACTGAGTAGAATACATTTTTTCCACATAAGTATTTGCTCATCTGTGTAGCAGGTACTTATTGAGCACCTGCTATGTGCCAGGCATTATTCTCTCAAGAAGTTTTTGTTCTTATCAGGAGACCAAAAGGGAGCCAGTTGTGTAGGAGGTTGGAAGATGAGCTCTAAGGAGCATAGTTCTGTGAGGATCTGGACAGTGAGTGCTGGGAGCACAGTGAGGAGGTGACATTTGAGGACAGACCAGATGGCAGTGAGTGGAGAGCCATGTGGCCATCCAGGCGGAGGAGACGGCCAGGGCAAAAGCCCTGGAACATGGACATGCACTTGATATGTCCAGGGAGTCCTCAGGTACTTGGGTGGCCTGTGAGACCATTGTGAGGGCTCTTCTCTGAGCGAGATGGGAAGGCTCAGGAGTGATTTGGGCAGGGGTTGACACCTGCAGCAGCTGTGTGGAGCCCCCCCAGTGAGGTGGCTGCTGTGATAATGTAGGTGAGGGACAGTGGTGGGTCAGACCTCATTCATAACACAGAAGTGATGAGAAGTGGTCAGAGGTGGGTTTCCTGGGGGATCAGATGCAGGGCATGAAATAGGCAGAGGAGTGAGTGCAGGGCCAGAGCACTGGAAAGGATGCAGGGCTGTACTCGGAGACAGGGAGGTCTGTGGGCAACGGGAGAGAAATGCTTGTTAGAGGAAATGTTTTATTTGTTTTTTGGGTTTTTTCCCCTTTTTTTAAATGTTTTTTTCTTATTTATTAACAGAGGTATGTAAAATAAGAGGAAATGTTTTACAGTTTGGTTTCAGACACGTCACGGTTGCCAGCATAAGTGGGCATGCTGAGTAGGCATTTGGAAATATGAGTGTTGAGTATAGGAGAAAGTTCTCGGTAGGGACAGAGTCCAAGGATGGAGCCTAGGATTTAGAGTTGAAATCAGCAAAAGAATCTGAGAAAGAGAGGCCCGTTGAGAGAGTGAAGAGAGCATTTAAAGGAAGAGTGTGTTGCACGTTGCTAAGAGGCAAAGTGAGGACTGGGGATGGACCACTGGACTTGAGAGCATGGAGGCTGCTAGAGGCCTTGGCAAATGCAAGTCACCTTGGTGTGGTTGGGCCAAAGCCCAGTTGGAGGATGCTCAAGAAAGTCTGGGAGAGGACAGAGCTGGATTGAACTGGAAGGGCTTTGTCAGGCACCTATGAAGACAGAAGAGAAAGGGGAGTAGTGGTGGGGTCTCAGCTGGAGGAGAGGGAGGGACACAGGCAGTGGGGGACAGCAGCTTCAGCAGAGTGGAGCTCCTGGTGGTAGTACAGTACTGTTGGAGCTGAGAGTGGGCTGGAAGCATGGAGCTTCTGGCTGGAGCGTGGGAAGGTTGGAACCGAGAGGAGGAGTTGCAGTAATCTGTCATGGAAGGTCTCTGGGAGTGACCATGAGAATGGATGTAGGGGAAGCCAAGGTCACTGCTGGATGAGAAACTTAAGGAACCAAGAGCCTTGGGTGTTAGAAGAATCACCCTTCTGGAATCACCAGGAATGATGGCGAGAACAACTGTGACCCTCAAGTAAGGGGAGGGACTTGGGCATGTAGATCCACAGTGAAAAGAGTGGTGTGTACAGGCTGAAGCCAGAAGCTCCAAACCTGGAGTTTAGGGAGAAAATCATGTATATGGATTTACTATAGAACTCAGCAGTGACTCCAAAGGACATCTGGAAGGATAAGTAATGTTACTGGTGAAAACATTTGAAGTTTCAGTGATAGAAACATCAAGCATTTGGGGATAAAGCTGACAGCCCTGAAGGAGACTACGGTGTATCTGAGAGCTTGGTGCATGGTCGAGGAGGCCTCACTTACCAAAAACAGAAAGGGTTCTTCCCCACATATGATGGTGTAGTAACCATTCATTACTTTGTGAGGGAGAAGAAATTAACTTAGATTCTCAGTAAATATAGCATACACCAAAATAAATTCCAGATATTAAAGAGATAAACATTCCAAATAACTAAACTAGTAGAAAACAGAATTGTTTTTTGGCCTTCTAGCAATAGAAGTAATCACAAAGGAAAATAACAGGCCATAAGCTCCTAGAGTATAGAAAGACAAATAGGTGGCATTTGCATGTAACGTCTGTATTAAAACTAGTCCGTGGAAATTGTTCAGAAAATCATGCTTCCTTTCTGGGTTCCCATCTGACCCCATCTTCTCTGATCTAGCCTTGGGTACTAGAGGGCAGTCCTGATGTTTACATATCTACCCCTCCAGGACTCTAAGTTCCTAGAGAAAGTTCTTGTTTCCTTTTTTTTAGGCACTGCATTCATGTTTATTAGACCCACTGCACAGAAGACCTCCGTTTAAACAGTCACAATATGTGAGCACATTAGTCCAAAAAGACATTAGATAATAGATAAGCAGATATGAGTAATCTTCACTTTCACTAATAATCAAACTAAAATTGCAAAATATAAAGTGTACTTAATAAGTCTGAAGGAAAAAAAAGTCATAATTCTCATTGCTAATAAAAGAGTTTTGAAGCAGACATTTTACATGTAGAAATTTAAAGTCCTACAGGGTCTTTGAAAAGCAGCATAAATTGGGCCTGATGGCTCATGCTTGCAATCCCAGCTACTCAAGGCTGCGGCAGGAGTATCGCTTGAGGCCAGGAGTTCAGAGCTGCAATGAGCTATGATTGTGTCACTACATTCCAGCCTGGGCGGCAGAGTGAGACCCCATCTCTAGAAAGAAAGAAAGTAAAGAAAAGCAGAGTACAATTCTGTGAGAATCCAGACGTGTGAAGATGTTCAGATACTCTACCCAGGCTTCCCACTCTGGGGTATCAATCTCAGAAATAATCCAGAGCCTAGAGAGTGACACATACACACAGGTGCATTAGCATGAAAAACTGGAATCTAGTTAGCATTTGGTGTTAAATTGGGTTGGTTATAGAAGTGAGTGCTCTTAGTGACATGGGACACAGGGCAAAAAGGAAATGAAGCCACGAATATCACACAGGCAAATAGAGTACGAATTGCAGCGTACTAGTACATACACTATGTGAGCCCCAAGTGCGATATAATGTGAAAAAATTCATCAAGCTGAAAATTTTCTACAAACTAGAAAAAAGTACAGTAGAAATTTTGACTATTTTGCTTATATGTATTTTTTAAAATCTGTGGGGAAAGGACTCAATAGCTATTACCTTGCTGCTGTTTGTTTCTTCAACTCACCAATCATTCTTCTGTATACCTAGCACTGCACCAGGCGCTGAGGTTGGAAAAATAACCAAGACCGCGCCCTTCACCCCTGATGGCAGGATAGGCAAGGTTGGCATCATCGTCACGGCTGACCTCATCGATGCCTTGGTGTGTGCCTGGCACGGTGCTGTGGCAGTTTCTCACATTTAATCCTCACAGTGACCCTATGAGCATAGGTTTTGTTTTTCATTCTGCACTGGACAGATGAGAAAACTGAGTCACAAAGAAATGAGCGTGATTCATTTTATTTGGAGGCCTAGAAGGGAAGGGGTGCTCCTGGCAGGGTCTGGGAGGTGAGGCCCAGTTCTCAAGCAGGAGGGCCTAGAGATGGCTGGCACTCAGTCATCAGCAGCCCTGGGACCTGGCTGTGCTGGACATTCCACCAAGCACTTACCCACCATGCCTCATGCTCAAGAGGTTTCACGGAGGAAGGCCGAATTAGGATTAGAGAAGCAGTCAGCAGAGCTGAGGAGTGTGCCCCAGCCACAGACCCAGGAAGTGGCAGGCCTTGGTTTTCGTGCATGGGTGATTCCACATGGTGCTCCAGCACTCAGCCACACCCTCAGCTGCTTTGTCTGTAAGAGGAGTGGGGCACTGGGGACAGTTAGATGCTTTACATTTTATGACTGGTTGAAAAACTTTAGCAGAGAATTTGTTCTGGCTGGTTAAAAAAAAAAAGGTCTGGTTGTGATGGTCCCAGATCGAATGTCCTCAGACATGAGAACCCCAGGGCACTGGTCCAGCTAGCATACAGGGGTGCTGCCAAGTGCCCGCTCACTGGGTCTGAATGCCAGGTGAGAGATCTCACCACAAGCCTCTGTCTTCTTCCAGATGTGATGGATGTAGCATGGTCTCCCCACGATGCCTGGCTGGCCTCATGCAGCGTGGATAACACTGTCGTCATCTGGAACGCTGTGAAGTTCCCAGGTCTGGTGTCTTCTCTGACTGGTTGTTGGCAGAACTTGGCAGCTTGCCAGCAGTACTGCCTGTCGGGGGCTGTGGGGGTGTCTGTCCATAGTCTGGTGGCAACAAGTATATGACTATGACCTAGGATTTATGTGTCTTGTCAGTAATCCAGTTCTTTTTTCTTTATCAGTTACATTTGTTTAAGGTTTAAAAAGAGATTTATGCTAAAGAAAAATAGTAACTGAGTGTTGGCATGGATGTGCTGTAGAGACTGGCACAGGGACCCCAGCAACCCGCACACGTGCTGTGTGTACCCCACCACTGAGCTCATGGTTCAGCTCAATTACCGTCCCCTCTGTGAAGCCCCTTAACACGTGGGCTAGCACAAACCCAGTTTTGCAAAAGATTGATTTTTCTTAATTTGTGTTTAAAATTACAACAGATGGCATAACCTAATCCAGTGCTGCAGTTTGTAACTAGTAAAATACTTCTCATATTCCCACTCTGTATCTGGAGTATGTTTTCCTCATGGGCTAAAATGTATCATCCATGGGCTTGGATCCAAGTAATTTTCACTCTCTGAAAGCCACCCCCAGCATGTATGGGAACATCAGTCTGGCTGTGGAGGAGCAATTTTAGAGGCTGGGCTAGCATTTGGTTTGCAAGTCTGTAGGAGGTGCTCTCATGTACACCTTTGTCTTTAGTGATGACTGAAGAAAGACTCAGCCTGCTGCCCAGCCCTCTGAGCTGTGAGGCTTGTTTCCCACACAGCTGCCAGGGAGGCTCACATCAACTCCTGATGTCATGGCGCAGGGAGGACAGCCTAGGGCAGGGCCACCTCCTACAGACAAGACACAGGCAGAACCAGCGGCTCTGGCCCAAACCTGTGCCCTGTGTTTGCCTGTCTCCTTGATGCAGTCATGTCTTCAGGTGGCTTTTGCCTTGGTGAAGATCACATGAGGGGCTCTTCTGTTTGTATGTTGGGTAGGGGCTGGCCAAGGCAGACTGCTGAAGTCCCTTCTGTTGGGGCTCCATCCCATGGCCCCCACCGATGACAGCTTGTGTTTTCTATCCAGTCATTGTTTTCCTCAGGTGACACCTTCCACATTTCTTTTTTGTTCACAGAAATTCTAGCTACTCTGAGAGGTCATTCTGGCTTGGTGAAAGGGTTGACTTGGGACCCTGTTGGCAAATACATAGCCTCTCAAGCTGATGACCGCAGCCTGAAGGTGTGGAGGACACTGGACTGGCAATTAGAGACCAGCATCACGAAGCCTTTTGATGAGGTAACCGGGGACAGCCCAGGGAGCTTGGCCCCGGCACCTGCTCCAGCCTCTTCCTGACCCAGCACAGAGAGGAAGCTGGCCATGGCCAGACCATGTGGGGAATGTGTGGAGTCCAGGGCCTGTGCAGAGCAGTCAATGTTCTCTGGGGTGGGCACTCTGGCCCTAGGAGTCAGATGATAAGTCTTTCATTTCTGAGAAACCATTTATTATCCAACTTTGAAGTGAAAAATAGTTACAGACTTTGAAGTTGAGGAGAGCCTAAGGGATGTGCCTATATCATTATGTTACCCAGCTCACTGCCACAGATATGGATGAAACTTTTTCTTACCATATGGGATTTACATCAAACTGCCTGCGGAGTGGCTTGTTAGGGGCAGAGGCAGGATAGGAGAGACTTTGTTGTTGCTCCTCAGTGTACCAAGGCTGTGCTTGCTGGCATCTGCAGGCCAGCCAATTCGTGTCTCCAAGTGCAGTCAGCAGTATGGTTTGCAGAATGTTTGTCGATCATACTGCAGTAGCTTCAGTAGTTTTATATTTTACTGCCACTTCCTTTGAGTTCTGATTTCAAGTGGATTGAGAGCTCAAGATCACTGTTATGCGGACACTTAAGTGTCTACTGTATGTAAGGCCATCCCGGGTACAGGGAAATAAAAATAGATTGAGATGGAGTCTCTCCCCTTGATGCCTATAGCCCTGTAGGAAAAACAGACATTCACATCCATCGTAAGTATGTGATAGAGTTGTCCAGAGTATAGAAACAGCCTGAAGGAGTGACTACATCAGGGAATGATTCTCAGGGCAAGGGCACATGAGCAAGGCTTTGCAGAAAGAATAGGCATTCCCCACTGGTTGGGCTGGCTGCAGGAGGAAAGTGAAAGTTACATGGTCAGTTCACCCAAAACCAACACCAGCTCCTGGGCTGGGTATATGAGCACTGGTTTTTACCTTACTTAGTCCTGCCCCTCCTTGACTGCAGCTGCCTGGTACAGGTGACATGGGCTGTCACACCTTCTGGTGCTCCTTGGGGCTCGGGCTGCCAGGCAGTGAGGTCCCATGAGCTTGGGCTCCTGGAGGCAGCTATGGGAGTGTCTTTAGTACCATTAGGAAATGGTATCACTCTTCAGCCTCTGGGTGGGCTTCCTGCCACCCCAGATGGCATAGGGGGTCTCTGGCCTGGTCTGGAAGTTGAGGCAGGTGATGTCACTGCCCTCAGACCCTGCTTTGTCCTGTCCTACTGTGTGGTTGTGAGGTCAAAATCTTAATCCCGGGCCCAACTTGAGCTTCAGGGGGCTGGCTCTGGACCCAAACCATCTCACCTTACAGGAAGAATAATGTGAAGGGTCAGGGGAACAGTGCCTTTCTGTGTGCATTTTACAGTTTATAAGAACATTATAGACCTTTCTCCTTGCTCGTGTCCTCACCACCATCTGGGTGAGGAGACAGGCTCGAGAGTAGGTGGTGCCTCATGGTCACCAGCTGCATCACAGGCAGGCTCCTCTAGGCTCCCATGTGGGTTTTCACTGCTGCAGCGTATTTCAAGGATGATCTGCAGGTGGGTTAACATGGTGGGTTAACTAACAGGTGCTGTATAGAAGTGGGTCAGTGGCCAGGGAGATTTGACTCACGTAGAGGTGATGGTTCAAAGCACTGGCCTTCCTGCAGGTCCCCTCAGAACCTATACAGTGTTTCCCTGAAAACAAGACCTACCCATAAAATAAGCCCTAGCAGGATTTCTAAGCATTTGTGCAATATAAGCCATACCCCGAAAATAAGACCTAGTGATGGGCGTGGCTGCGCAGCGCATCTGCACAACCCATGCATTTCGTCCCTGAGTGGTAAAGAAGACGAGCAGCCCTTCTCATCTGCCCCATCGTGACAACTACTATCCCAGAGGTGACTGAAAAGGTGCAGCAGCCCCACCAACAAGGTTGGCTCCCCCGTTAGGTCCCGGCCGTCCTGTGCGTGATACAAACTGAGGCTTTGAGGGGAAAATAACACATCCCCTGAAAATAAGCCCTAGGGTGTCTTCTTGAGGAAAAATAAATATAAGACCCTGTCTTATTTTCGGGGAAACACCATACTTCTGTGCTGCAGTTTTTTGTTCAGCCCCTGAGTGGCAGTGTGGGATGCTGTAGTTCCCAAATTCATATGACAGGGCCCTTTTGGTTGGGCCATTAGGATGGCAGAAACTCCCAGTGTAGCTGGAAGCTTGGGATGCACCCTTTGTCATCATGCATTTGTAAATCGGAGTTTGACTTTATCCTGAGGCCAGAGTTTGGGTCATAAAGTTAGTCTTGAGCTCCTCTCAAGTGCAGGTGTTTCTTTCAGTGTGGAGGGACGACCCATGTGTTGCGGCTCAGCTGGTCACCTGACGGGCATTACCTGGTGTCTGCCCATGCCATGAACAACTCTGGCCCCACTGCCCAGATCATCGAACGGGAGGGCTGGAAGACCAACATGGACTTCGTGGGGCATCGGAAAGCTGTGACTGTTGTGGTGAGTGCGTGTAGGCGGCTGAGGAAGAGGGCCCTTAGATTCAGCATGTACTCGTTCTTATTTTAAATATTTAAAAACTAATTTTACAAAATAGGATGCATATTCACATGTTTTATTGGCAAACTTTAACATAATATCACCAAAATCTGTCTTTGGATAGGAATATTGTGACTGCATACTAGCCTTTTACACACTCAGGTGTGCTCACAGGTGCTCAAGCACAGTATTCCCCTTGCCTGGCTCCTGTGAATACGGGGGCCGTTCTGTTGTACCCACCAAGCAGTGTGCTTGTCCCCACGCCCAGCAGTGATCAGTCACCTCTGCAAGGATGTGCCATGGATTGCTGAGTCAGGCGCTACCTCCTGATCTTGCTGTGGAGGGCGAAGAATGCAGAGACGTGAGGTGCTGCCGGCTTGAGAGGGCCCTCACCCCTCCTTTCATGCTTCTCGAGGATTTTGAGTGTAGAGTGTCCTCAGAGTGCCCACAGCAAACTGTCACATAGTTGCAAATAACCTGTGAGAACCAGGATTTTCACAACACTGGGCAACCAAACAAAATAAATAGATTAGCAGGCCAAGGCTGATAGAAGGGAAGGATCATCGAGGACCCTGATGCCACCAGGCTTATCATTCTCTGTGTTTAAGTTGATAATAAATGTCATATGTTATACCTTAAGACATAAAATTTATAGGAATAAAATATTGCTTTTAAAATTTTTTTTGTATTGGAATTCATGCAAGATTTTGTTTGAGCCAGCGCCTTTTGCTAAAATGTTTGAAAATCACCGCTTCATGATTAGCACAGTGCTTCTACATGATTCTCTCGTGTAGTCCTCATCACCACTTCAGAGCAGCTCTGTGAGGTCATGATGCCTGCCTTATAGGGGGTCACAAACCTCCATGAGGCCCTACAGCCCACTTGGTGGTAGTGGAGACTCAAGCCCAGCATCCACACTTCTGGGTTGTATCTTCTCCAGGGTCTGTGTAACCCTGGCCATTTCTGCCAGCCCTCTGAAATTAAAACCTCTATAAGCCACCTAACACCAGGCTCTCAGGAGCCATCCTCAGTTGTCCTAGCTTAGGGATTCCAAGATCTCCCACCTCCTTTCAATCCAGGAAGATGGACAGGAGCTCAGTGTGTGCTTCCAGCCTTTCCAAAAGCAACAACCAGGTTACACTGGGGGTGGTTCCCCGGGCTGAGCAGCCACTCAAGCACCTTTGTTAGACGTAGCCATGGTCCCTGGTGCAGTGAGATCATGAGTGCCTCTCGGGCTGAGCAGATCTCTGCTCAACAGTATGGCTATGAACAACAAATGCAATGAAGAGAGAAGGAATGCAGTGGATTAGACCCTTCCTGCCATTCCCTTGGCTTCCCTTAGAGGTGCAGAGTGGTCCTTGTCCCAGAAGCCCCTTTGTGGGCTCAGCTTTTCCCCTGGTCCTAGGGCTGGCCCTGCCCAGCCAGGAGAATTGAGAAGGGCCAGTATTAGTAGCTACCATCCTATCCACCTGGCTGCTGGTTCCATACATGGAGAGTTTGGTAGGGCAAGCTTCAAATCTGCATTCCCCGCCTGTTCATTTGGCGACTGCACATGTTTTCTGACCTGCCTGAACCTTCATTTCATTAGCAGACCAATGCCTCATAGGTGGTTATGATGATGAAATAGCACCCAGTGCCTGGGCTTGCAAGATGTTGGGGACTCCTACTGGCAGGCTGGGATTTTGGTATGTTCTTGATGCTTGGGCATGGGGTACATGTCCGATGCTTGATTAATTATTTTATCACTTGTTATTTGGCTTTAGAAATTCAACCCAAAAATCTTCAAAAAGAAGCAGAAGAACGGGAGTTCTGCGAAGCCCAGCTGCCCGTACTGCTGCTGTGCCGTTGGCAGCAAGGACCGGTCACTCTCTGTCTGGGTGAGTGAGCCTGGCCACCCTGAGCTTTTGCTGCAGGGCAGGAGGTGTGGGCTAGGGAGGTAGTGAGCCTGGAGGCCTTGAAGGAAAGAGAGAGAGACCCAGCACTTTTAGTGATAGCAGGTACTTCTACCCTGTGCCTGGGGTCAGCCCCTCCTTAGAAGTCTGTAGGCCTTCCTGCTGTCCTGGAAGCGAGCACTGAGGATTGGGCCTGCCAGGCAGAAGAGGCCATCCTGACCCCTGACCAGATCAGTGCTTGTGTCCATATTCAGGCAGCACCCTTAGTCATCAGTGCCATAGACAGCATGTTGTGTTTGCTTCCTGTTAGAAAAATCGTATTATTGACATGTATGTAAAGTGCATTCACCTGAAAGGTACAGCTTAGAGAATTGTCTTGTATGTTTACACACCATTGTCACCAGAACACTCCTTGAACCTAGAACACTTGTCCTTTTGGTCCTGCCCAGTTAAAGGCCATGTTCTCCCTCATCCAGGCAACTAATCTAATGACCTCTATCACATTGATGTGTTTTGCCTGCTCTTAAACTTCATATAAATGCAATTGTGCGGTGTTTACTACTTTGTGTCTTGCGTTTCTTTTGCTTGGCATAATGTTTTTGAGATTCATATATGTTGTTGCACTTAACAGTAGTTTATTCCTTATCATTGTTGTGTGATATTCCCCTCTGTGAGTATACCACAATTTATTTATCTGTTCTCCTGTTGATGGCCATTAGGGTTCCAGTTTTGAGATATTATGACTAAAGCTGATGTGAATATTTCGTGTAAGTCTTTTTGTGGACATATGTTTTTCATTTCTCTTTGAGTACATACCTAGTAGTAGTAGACTCTCACTGGTCTACTCTGTGGGGCTATCCCCCTGTTCAGATTTTAGCCCTTCCAGAACCCACTTCCCCTCTGTCTTCTCTCTTTCTGGCTGTCTGTGTATAAAGCCACAACATGCCCTGGAGGCAGGAACTGCTCTAGGATGTATATTTTTGGTTTTTTTGGAGATAGAGTCTTACTCTGTCACCCAGGATTGAGTGCAGTGGCATGATCATAGGTCACTGCAGTCACAAACTCCCTGAGCTCAAGTGATCTGCCTCAGCCTTCTGAGTAGGTAGGAAACTACAGATATGCACCACCACACCTGGCTAATTTTTCAAATTTTTTTATAGAGTCAGCATCTCACTATGTTACCCAGTCTAGTCTCAACCTCTTGGCCTCAAACAATCCTCTTGCCTTGGCCTCTCAGAGTACTGAGATTACAGGCATGACTCACCTTACCCCATGAGGTACACATTTTTGGTAAGCTTTGGTTTCCACAGTTTGAGATCTCGGCAGCCACTGTTGAATAGAATTGAAGATGCCCTGACTATCAGCAGAAGCTCTGCTCAAGGCTACTAGGCTAATCTTGTTAACTGAGGTGTGTGCTCAGAGAGGCTTTCAGTAACTCCATTAACTTTAGCTGTCTCTTTCCTTCCAGCTCACGTGTCTGAAGCGGCCACTGGTGGTCATCCATGAGCTGTTTGACAAGTCCATCATGGACATCTCCTGGTAAGGTGGATCCTGTTATGGAGCATAGGCTGAGAAAGGAGAAGCCACACACTAGAACACGAGACCTTCTGGGTGTGATTAGAGTCAGGTGGCACAGTGGTGCAACTGCCAGGGTGCCACCTGCATGTGATTCAGGAGCTGGGCTGCATGCCTGCTGCTGTGGTGATGTCATCCCCTGTGATGCAGTATTTGCCCCTGGAAAATACCTCCTCAGGATTCGTCTGAGATGAGGAGAATGATGTCCTTGTGGGATCCATGTTACTCTGTTATTCCATGAATGAAAATGACTAAATTTAGGTGGATACTTCCTGGAGTTTGGGGATTTTTTTAAATGGTTTCAAAAATAAGATAAATAAAATTGAAAATTCTCACAAAACATATGGTAAAAGATGCTTTGTACACAGGCTTAGAATTGGAGGACACCAGGGCCCTTGGGAGGGATTATTACCCCCACCACCCTCAGGCCACAGAATGGGACGGTCTCCCTGAAGTATTGCCCCAGACCAGCCGCTGAGCCATGGGGTCTGCCTTGAGCTCCTGCTCCCAGGCTGCTGACAGCCATGTCTTTCAGGACTCTGAACGGGCTGGGCATCCTGGTGTGCTCCATGGACGGCTCTGTGGCATTCCTTGACTTCTCTCAGGATGAGCTTGGAGACCCCCTGAGTGAGGAGGAGAAGGTAGGCTGGTGGCCCATGTGCTGCTGCACGCTCTGGGGCACATTACTAGCTGGGATAGCTCCGTGACACCCCTTCGATTGGACCCTCTTGTGGGATACGATGACACATTGTTTCTTAAAGTTTAATGGAGTATTGACCTTTTATAGATTATAATCCTTATGTTCTTTACAGGGTAGATTGATTTAAAAGTGAGTTTCTATTCATGTCAGAAACAAGTCCTGGAATTAAGAATAAAACTACCTTGGGCATCTCTTCTTGAGCTGATAGGGCCACCCATTGGGTGGCTTTTGCCCTGGAAGAGAGCTAAAGTGACTCCCCCAGGGTCCCTGCTCACATCACTTTCCCCATTATAATAGTAATAGTATTGGTCGTCTCTTAGCACTTATTGTATGCCAGGCTCTGGGCCTCGTGTTTTGCATGTGTGATTTCACAAAACCCTTCAAGGCAGGGCTCATTCATTTTATCAATGAGGTAACTAAGCCTCGGAAAACAGCATGGCCCTTTACCCAGACTGTATGTGACCCTTAGGTTAGAAGCGTGAATTAGGCCTACTGTCTTTGGGCCAGGCCTGCTCTCCTCTGCTCTGCCTGGGGCAGTGGTGCTAGTGTGCCCAGGCTTTGGGAGAGGCCCTGCTTTCCCTACATACCAGGAAACCTGCTGTTGCTATAGACAGGCCTTTGTTAACACCTGGTAGGATGTATCTGTCTGAAAGGATCTCTGTGAAACCAGAGCTACTCTCCCCATAGTAACACTGTTGCTGGCAGAAGCTCCCTCTTAAACTACTGTGACCCCCCTCTAAGATGTAAACCACTTGTAGATGGAGGTCTGCCTTGTTGACTGCACCTAGAACAGGGCCTGGCACCCCATTATTTTTCATGAAGGAGTGAGTATCTCAGTAGCCTCACATCTTTTTCCCCACCTTATCACTGTCATCGGGTACCTGGGGATTGCCATGCACCCCCTTGGAGAGGCACCCGGGGAGCCTGTGCAATTAACTATATCTAGCTTGACATTTCCCAGATCACAGGCAGGGACCCCATGTTTGAGGAACACTAGGGAACCTTGGTCAAACTCTGAATTCTGGCTTGAGGTTCCAGGAGGTGGACTCAGAAGGGGCAAGAGCCAAGGTGGCAATGGAGGAAGGTTCCTAGCCTCACACCCCTACAGGAGCAAGTCCCAGAGCACCTCTCCTGGAAGGCTGCCTCTCCCACCCATGTTCTGGTGTAAGGCAGATGTCGTATTAACCACAGTCCCTGTTCCTGGGCAGAATGCCACGCTGGTTATTTGCACATCCTGTGTGAGTCTGCTCCTGGTCACACTTTCATACATACCGGTTACTGTGGTGTGCTGGGGACACCGTTCCTGCTTTTGTGGGGCTCCTGGTTAGCTTATTATGGCATAGGACTACTAGGGCCTAGGAGGAGGGAAGGACAAGGACATCCTCAAGGTGGGGGACACAGAGGAGGGTCTGCTGTGCCAGCCTACCGTGAGTAGGCCCATGGAGACCTCTGATCAAGGGGCCAACATCTGTAGTCAAGAGCAGTGAAAGCAGACACATGTTCCAATGTCTGATTCCCAAAGGCGCATTTGGGCTCCTTGGAGTGATATAAGAACCTTAAGTTAGCAATTTGAGTGTCTTCCTTTCAGCTGAAGCAATGGGGATGGCCATTTGTTCTGCATCAGACCAAATGGGGTAGGTGTTGTCTTGTCAGCTGTCTCGTTCATTCACTGTAATCCCCAGCTGCAGGGCATGAGATGTCAACAGAGCTGTCTAATCAGGGACAGGCAGAATAGGGTGGGAGGCAATGGACAGCTGGCACTGGGGCCTTTCCACTCTCGCAGCCAGGAGGGCCCTGCTGGTGGGCAGCACTGGCCATGCTGGCGCTCATGCTGGCCTGTCGCGCCTCTCCCTGCTTCCCCCAGAGCCGCATTCACCAGTCCACCTATGGCAAGAGCCTGGCCATCATGACTGAGGCCCAGCTTTCCACAGCCGTCATCGAGAACCCTGAAATGCTCAAGTACCAGCGGAGGCAGCAGCAGCAGCAGCTGGACCAGAAGAGTGCCCCAGCCCGAGAGCCAGGCTCAGCAGCCTCTGTCGCAGGCGTCGTCAATGGTGAGAGTCTAGAAGACATCAGGAAGGTGAGAGCTCAGTCTGGTGACACTGAGGGCATGGGCAATGCCCAGGGACAGGGCACAGATACGAGTGGTGGTGAGGAGGGTGTGTGCTGAGTGTGGCACAGGTGCTGCAGGTCAGCCAGCCAGGCAGATTGGCCTTTGCCCACAGCTGCACAAGGCAGTAATGGGGCCTGAGGCACCTTGATCAAAGGCCTCCTTGTCCCAGGGAGCCCTAAAGCAGATCATCTCTTATAGGAACTTCCAAACCTCAACCTGCTGGCCTTTGTAGGAAATTCTAGATATCAAGAGCACTGGATTTCAGGCTCTGCCCTTAGGAGACATCTGTGGGCTCCTCTTCTTTGTCTGGAAGCCTGTGGTTCATGGAAAGGGGTTGGAAATGGGGCAGGAACAGGTTAGGACATGAGATCGCCTAGGGAGCTAACACCATCTCCAAGAGCTTGTGTAGGTTGACAAACCTCCCCCAGGTGATTCCGGTATAATGAGTGAGTGGGAGCCCATGGCTGTGGCCTTCTGTAGAAGAGGGATTTTGTGATGAAAGCTTGAAAATCACCAGCTCAATGACAAAAGAGTGTGGCTCATGAGTGCAGTCTCAGTCCTTTAGTTCCTTCACTGACCCTATGGCTGTTGGGTGGGGGTCGCCAACATTTCCTTAAAAGCCTTACTTTTTTTTTTTTTATTTTTTAAGACAGAGTCTTGCTTTGTTGCCCAGGCTACAGTGAGTGACATGGCATCAGCCTAGCTCACAGCAACCTCAAACTCCTGGGCTCAAGCAATCCTGCTGCCTCAGCCTCCCGAGTAGCTGGGACTACAGGCATGCGCCACCATGCCCGGCTAATTTTTTGTATATAATATAGTTGGCCAATTAATTTTCTTTCTATGTATAGTAGAGATGGGGTCTTGCTCTTACTCAGGCTGGTTTCGAACTCCTGACCTCGAGCAATCCGCCCGCCTCGGCCTCCCAAGTGCTAGGATTACAGTGTGAGCCACCACACCCGGCCAAGCCTTACTTTTTTTTAAACCTACTGATTTTAGGTAAAATTGACACATAAAAAGATATACATGTTTAAGGCATACAACTAAACGATAAGCCAGACACAGAAGGACAGACACTGTGCTATCACTTATATGAGTATCAAGCTCACAGAAGCAGAGTAGTGGATACCAGTGGTTGGGGGCAGGGAAAGCTTTGTGCCCAATTAGTCAGCAGGCACAAAGTTGCAGTTTTACAGGATGAATGAGTCCTAGAGGTCTACTGTACAGCACAGTGCCTGCAGTTAACAGTATAATATTGCATACTTGAAAATATGCTAAGAGGGTAGATCTTATGCTAAGTATTCTTATCACCAGAGAAAAAGGAAGCTTGATTTTTTTGATATTTGAAGATAGTTGCTAGAAACGTTTCCATTCATTTATGTGACTCTGTTTTGCCAGAATCTTTTGAAGAAACAAGTTGAGACTCGGACAGCAGATGGTCGGAGAAGAATCACGCCTCTCTGCATAGCACAGCTGGACACTGGGTACTCATTCATTCACCGAGCTTTCTGTGACCTTATCTGGGGAGGTTTTCTTCTCTTTCCACCAGTTAGCACTTTGACAGTAAGGGTCTACACAGGCCCTGTGGGCCATGCCTGACTGGCAGAACATGGAAGTGAGGGAGTTGAGCCCAGCTTCCCGCCAGCCTCCAAGCCCTGTGCTCCTCATAGAGCCCTGTGCACGCTTGGCTCGTGTGGAAGGTGGGTGGGGGTTGCAACGCCTGGCAGGCCTGGCGCCTTTTCAGGGACAGCACATCTGCACTTCACTGCTGGCAGGGCACTAGAGAACACACGATAAGACAATCAGACTGATTTTTTTTCTTTTTTTTTCCTTTTGTCACCTTCTTCTGACTAGAAAGGTATATATAAGCATTGTTAAAAATTTAGAAAATAGCAAAAGCCCAAAGAAGAAAAAAGCATTATCCATAATGCAGTCTTTCAGATATAATCACTGTTAGCATTTTGATATCTGTTTTCCCCACGTGCTACTGTATCTTGACCATTTATTTTAATAAATAGTCCTCTGAGGCATTCACTTGATGACTATCCAAGTTCCTATCCTATGAATGCACCATGATTTACTTAAGCAGCCCATTAACTGTGGACTTGTAGTTTTTCCAGTTTTTCATGACTGTAAATGAATCTTTGAACACACCTGTGACTGTTCCCTTGGGATAATTTCTAGAAGTGGAATTGCATTTCTGTGGAGGACAGAAATCATGGAATAGATTTATTCACCACTTGCTGTTGTTGCAACGTTTTTTTTGGTCATTCTCCCCAGAATGATATATGTTGATTTGAAAAATAATAAGGCCCTGTGTGAAAGAAATGGACCCCCACTGTCAAGGCAATTCACGTTGGGTTTTATACTCATTCAGCCAATCAGCTCAGGGCATCAGGAAGTCCTTTGTAGACATCATGCCCTGAAGACAACTGCATTTTGCAGTGTTCACCCTGAGCTATTCCAAATCTTCCTTGAAGTGGGAAGAAACCTTCAGTCATATGATGTGCTGATGCAGCCCCCTCACGTAAGGTGTGCAGGCCCTGAGGCCCCAGAGGGCAGAGACCTGGCTACCTGGAGAGACCAGAAACAGGTCTGCGGACTTCTCCCAGAACAGTGATTTTCCTTTGACTAAGCCGTTTTCCATTATAAACCTATACGGATCAGGGGGTAATGCCACCTGCCTACCTTTTATTAGGACCAAGTGAGACCAAGTGTGCATGTCCCCTGAACACTGCTGGACCTCTGGGAGAGAGAGAGGTGGTGATAGTGTTGGTGGCACTTTGTTTGTGGATCCTTCCAGGCCTTACCTGATGAGGTGGAGGAAGCTTCCTAGCTGGCCTTGAGCCCACTTTCTGCCACAGGGTGCATATTCTTGGCTCCAGAACTTGATTCCTTTGGTCTTAAAGGCGTTTTCACCCTCCTGATTCACATATTCTAATAAGTAGCAACAAGATAGGTAATTATTATCTTAGGTAATCAAGAAAGAAAAGAAGCAGCACAAATATTCAAAGTAGTTGTAAGTGGGAAATTATCATGAATAGAGAATAAATCAAAAGGATGAGACGATTCTATCCTGAAGTCTGTACAAATAAATTTTAAAGTAGATGGTTTTTTGTTTGTTTTTTTTTTTTTGAGACAGAGTCTCACTTTGTTTCCCAGGCTAGAGTGAGTGCCGTGGTGTCAGCCTGGCTCACAGCAACCTCAATCTCTGGGGCTCAGCGATCCTACTGCCTCAGCCTCCCGAGCAGCTGGGACTACAGGCATGCGCCACCATGCCCGGCTAATTTTTTTTTTGTATATATATTTTTAGTTGGTCAATTAATTTATTTCTATTTTTGGTAGAGACGGGGTCTCGCTCAGGCTGGTTTCGAACTCCTGACCTTGAGCAATCCGCCCGCCTTGGCCTCCCAAAGTGCTAGGATTACAGGCGTGAGCCACCACGCCCGGCCAAGTAGATGGTTTTTAAAGAAAATAAAATCACTAAAATGAAAAAATCATTATAGAAGAAATAGAGGACACTGTCAAAGAGTTAACCCAAAGCCACCAGACTAAGAAGGCTTCACAGGGAAACTCTAAAGTATTCCAGTTCATAGAGAAGAAACTTGGAAATTCTTTTTTGAAATGAACATAATATTTATATCAAAATGTTAACAGAGATAGAGCATAATAAATCCCAGGTCATTCTTATTTGTGAATGTCAGTGCAAAGTCCTATATAAAATAGTAGCAAACAGAACATTACTATGTGTTAAAAGGCTACTACACCATGACCAAGTAAGGTTTATTTCGGGAAAGCAAAGAGGTTCAAATTTTGGGAAACTCTTTCATTCTTCATGTCCAAAAATAAAAAATAATTGTATAGTCACCTCCATAGATGCTTAATGGAATTTTGATAAAATTCAACATTGTTCTAATTTAAAACAATTAAGTGAGAATAGATGGATGTTTCCTTAACTTGATAAATCTTATTCCAAATTAAATTAAAAAACTAAACAAATATCTGCTCTTGTGACTATAATTTAACATTCTTCTCAACATCCTAGTCTATGCAGTTAGTCAAGGCAAAGAATAAATTGGAAAGGAGAAAGTGAAATACATTGTTACTTAAGGGTCATATGGTATATAAAAGAATCAACTGGAAAAACTGCCATGGACAATAAAAGGGCAATCAAGTGGCTTGATACAATCAACATGAGATTGGGTAGCACCATCTCCCCTTGGCACATATACAGAAAGAAATCACACTCATAAACAAAATACCTGGAGTATGACAAGAAATGTAGATCTCAGTGAAGAAAATTTTAAAATACTACTGAGAGACCTAAAAGAAAACTCACAAAATAGCTTTTAACAGAAATGCATCCCGTTGATTAGCTAGGGTGGCATCATAAAGACATCAGTCCTCCCTTAACGTATAAATTTAACATGAACCAGTGCAAATAACCATAGGAGTGTTCAGAATCAGACAAGGTGACTCTAAAGTTACATGGAAAAATAAATAGGAATAGCTGAAATATTTCCGAAAAAGATTAATTGGGGAAGACTAACCCCACCAGAAATTAAAACTTAAAGGCTATAATACTGAAAACAGTGAGATACGGACACATGAATATACAGCAGTGGAATATAATAGAATATCCAGAAATAGGCCCAGATATATATGGGAATTTTAAAGATAGCATTTCACATCAGTGAGGAAACATTAATTAACTCAATAAATGCAATGCCTAACTACTCAGCACCCTCTAGAAACAATGTTGGATCCTTACATCATACCTTTTAAGTTAGATGTATTCTGAACAGCTCAGAGACTGTTTTTCTTTTCTTTTCTTTTTTCTTTTCTTTTCTTTTCTTTTCTTTTCTTTTCTTTTCTTTTCTTTTCTTTTCTTTTCTTTTCTTTTCTTTTCTTTCTTTTTTTTTAAGACAGAGTCTTACTTTGTTGCGTAGGCTAGAGTGCCATGGCATCAGCCTAGCTCACAGCAACCTCAAACTCCTGGGCTCAAGCGATCCTCCTGCCTCAGCCTCCCGAGTAGCTAGGACTATAGGCATGCACCACCATGCCCAGCTGATTTCTTTCTATTTTTTTAGTAGATCCCGTCTATTTTTTTAGATGGGACCTCAGTCTTGCTCAGGCTGGTCTCAAACTCCTGAGCTCAAATGATCCTCCTGCCTTAGCCTCCCAGAGTGCTGGGATTATAGGTATGAGCTACCACACCCAGCCTGTTTTTTTCTTAATATTTAACTGTTTTGTTGTTTAAAATATTTTTGTTTAAAATTTTAGAAGAGCCCATGGAAGAATATTTTTATAATTTTAGAGGCAAAGTCTTTTCTACAAAGAACATAAAATTTAGACTGCAAAAAAATAACTTTTTTGGTATATGTTTTGAAAAAATATACTTTAAAGAGTTAAAACACAACATCTTGGGGAAAATATTTCCTACCCAAGGAATTTTTAAAATATATAAATAGTTCTTATAAATCAACAATAAAGAGTAATAACCAGGCCAGGCGCGGTGGCTCACGCCTGTAGTCCTAGCACTCTGGGAGGCCGAGGCGGGCGGATTGCTCGAGGTCAGGAGTTCGAAACCAGCCTGAGGAAGAGCGAGACCCGGTCTCTACCATAAATGGAGGGAAATTAATTGGCCAACTAATATATATGTAGAAAAACTTAGCTGGGCGTGGTGGCACATGTCTGTAGTCCCAGCTACTTAAAAAAAAAAAAAAAAAAAAAAAAAAAAATCGGCATGCAAAATCCTGTCAAAAAAAAAAAAAAAGAGTAATAACCAAATAGAGAATAAACAAAGGATATGAACAAACACTTCACAAAAAGGAAATCAAATGTTTCTATATGAAAAAATTTCCACGTCACTCACATCAAAACTAAAACTGGGGCCAGATGCGGTGTCTCACGCCTGTAATCCTAGCACTCTAGGAGGCCAAGGCAGGAGGATGTTTGAGCTCAGGAGTTCGAGACCAGCCTGAGCAAGAGCGAGACCCGTGTCTACTAAAAATAGAAAGAAATTAGCTGGACAACTAAAAATATATAGAAAAAAATTAGGGCATGGTGGCACATGCCTTTAATCTAGGCTGATACCACAGCATGTTAGCCTGAACAACAGAGTGAGACTCTGTCTCCAAAAAAAAATTAAAACTAAAACTATAGTAAGATAGCATTTTTCATCTGTCAGATTGTCAAATGTCAAGAAATTTGATAAAACTGTACAAGTATGGGGAAATAGGTACTCACATATATGATTTATCATTCTTTTAAACCTCTGAGGAGGACACTTTAGAAATATTTATCCAAAATCATCAGCAAACATTTCATTTTGCTACTATAATTCCACTTTTAGGAATTTATCCATGTATATATGTGAATCGTAGGTATAATGATAATTATTATGATTTTAGGCATCTTTCAGTAGTTATTGTGTGTTATAAGTGTGTGTTACGGTAACTACTCCTGACAACAGCCCATGGGGAGAGTTCTGGTGCTTTTTATTTTTCAGACTGGAACCTAAGGCAAAAAAGAGTAGTTGAAGTGGCAGAGGAGTTAGATGTAGCTGATCTGGCCCAGGGCCCTCAATCCTGACACTGCAATACTTGCCGCCTCTTGCAGCAGCATCTGGTATATAAGAGGCTGGGAGACAGCCCTGTCATTTGTCAGCAGAGGCTGGGTTTTATAAACTATGGCACATCCATCCAGTGGCACACCCCACAGCCCTTCATGAAAGGGAGATCCTTTCTGTGTGCTACATTTCATTCCTCCTAAAACACATGCTTACACAGTGTAACACCTCTGAGATCAGGGTGCATCATACAATCAATGGCATTTGATAATTGTAATTAGTGACGTTTTTTCCTTAGTGGTACATATGGTACTAGTACATCTTAGATTCAATTAAATATAATATAAATTATAAATATATAATTAAATTTATTATCACTTCGTAATATATGAAGTGATTTTACTTTTCTGTAACTTTCCAGTTTTCTACCATGAAAATATACTGCCTTTGGACTCAGAAAAAGTTAGAGTACTGGATATGGCATCTGATTTTCAAGGCTGACTTTTGTTCTTGCTTGATGACAGGGACTTCTCCACGGCATTCTTTAACAGCATCCCCCTCTCGGGCTCCTTGGCGGGCACCATGCTCTCCTCTCATAGCAGTCCGCAGCTACTGCCACTGGACTCCAGTACCCCCAACTCCTTCAGCACCTCGAAGCCTTGCACAGAGCCTGTGGCGGCCACCGGTGCCAGGCATGCAGGCGATTCTGTCAATAAGGACAGGTCAGTGGGCACCAAGCCTTATTCCTGTCTCTGGGGAAAGTTCAGGTTTGCACAAAGTTTTGTGACAGAGGATTTCATTCTATTTGCACTTTGTGGCCCCTTCGATAAAAAAAAAAAAGAAAGAAATGCTTAATTTTAGATGGAGCCTGCCTGGAGGGGAGGATTTATTCAGGTGAGTCTCTGAAACTCAGGACTGTGAGGACTTCACAAAGAGGGTGTCATAGCAGACCAAGGATCAGGCTAAGCCAGGGGACCTGCCGGTGAGATGCCACCCACCATAGAGTCAGTCCCATCTGCTGACAGATTTGCACTGAAGGTGGCTTCATATTTCCAGGGCCTTAGCCTCCATTTTATTCTGTGGGGGATATCTCCACACCATTCATCCCAGGCAGGGTGTTTATGTAGGAGGGCACAGACTCCCCTTGTACCCTGAGAATTATATTCACTCAGAGCCTTTGTCTTCACTGACCTTTTCCTGGAAACCGAGTTAGAAGTCAGAAAGGATCAGACAAGCACGGATAGGAGCCAATAGTAGATGTTTGCCCAGCACTTTCTCTGGGTTACACACTGTGCTAGGCCCAGGCATCCAGGGGGTTGCTGGGTGGGTCCTTGTCCTTGGAGTGTGCAGGCTGCTGGGGAAGAGGCCACCACAGTGTTGCAGATGGCTCTTCAGGTCCTTTGGGTAGAAATGGCTGCCCATCTGAAGAGGGGTCAACGTGCAGGTCTCAGGGAGATGTTTCAGAGGGTGCCCCTCTCAGGGACCATGTAAGTAGCAGCAAGAGCAGCACCCTGAGTTCCTGAGGAAGGACTAGAAAGTGGGGAGAAAGCCTGGGTTTCTGTGCCGAACTGAGTAGTCTGCACTTTTCTCCAGAGTGGACGCATACAAGACTTTGGGACTTGCATTTTAAGAAGATGCTCCAGTAGGCCTTGGTGCCCAAATTTAGCCACCCCAGCACACACAGCCAATACCGTTAGAGTGATTCTCCACTGGTAGGGATCGGGTCTTGTGTTCCCGCAGCCTCCTATTTCTGGGTGCTGGCACCCTTGCCGTGGAGGCAGGCACCAAGCATCGATTGTCACTGCCCTGAACAATTGTGACCAGGGTGGGACGAGGAGACAGTAGCAAGACCAATGAGGAAGTAAAGCATGCAGGGAGGAGGCAGGTCTGGAAAGACATGGGTCTGTGACAGACAGTGCCAGATCTAAAAACTGTTTCAGGGGTTGACCCTACAGATCCTGGTGGCCACAGGTCATGGAGGAGGAGGGGGAGGAAAGGGCTGTCCAGATTGTGGGGTTCAGGCAGATGGAGGTGGAGGGTGTTAGCCTGGATATGGTCAGCAGGAGGCCCAGTAGCTTTGGTCCCCAGCATGTGGAATGGACTGGGCACACTTATGCCTGGGCCTCCTTTCTCTAATGAGTAGAAGGCGAAAGCTGTGGGGCGAGCTCTTGGAGGAGAGTGCTGAGAATTTGTCATTGTCACAGTCAGAGATAGGAGGGGCCGCCCAGGACAGAGAGTGCTTGGCTGAGGATGAAGGCCAATAGCAGACCATGGCTTCAGGACCCCAGATGGGGGCATTTCTCATCAAACCTGTTGTTGAAATGGGAAAGGCTGGTGGTGGGAGTAGTTTGGAGTGGAGAGGCTGTATTTAAGTTGTGGAGACAGGGCTGTATTGTTAGAGAAAAGGATTATAAGAACCACTTTCTAGGCCTTCCGCCACCAAAAGCTCCCAGAACACAGAGGGGCAAACGTGAATGCATTTGTTCACAGCCTACTCAGGTAGCCAGACTTCCAGAATTTTAATACATGAAAATTTTAGAGAAATAGCCAGGAACAGTAGATTATATCTTGGATTAGTTTGTTTATAGAAGTTCGGTATTTGTGCCTTATTCAGTAGCCTCCAAGTAATGCAAACCCTAGACCTCTAGATCCTGTGAGAATTGTCCTTGATGACCCTCCTGTTTTCTTCCCCCAGTGTGAATGCTACCTCTACTCCTGTTGCATTGTCGCCTTCTGTGTTAACCACCCCGTCCAAGATCGAACCCATGAAAGCATTTGACTCCCGATTCACAGAGCGGTCCAAAGCCACACCAGGTGCTCCTGCCTTGACCAGCATGACTCCGACAGCCATTGAAAGGTAGGTGGTAGCTACAGGGACCCAGAGAGGCCAGGGAGGGGAGGCGCAGGCAAGTCATACAGCGGCCGTTTTTCCAACCAAGCAGTCTGCCCTTCTGTGGGGAGCAGACGCCGGTCCACAGGGGCAAGACTGCAGGATCCCTTAGTGAGCCACCAGCCCTGAGGAGAAAGGAGCAGCTGCTTAAAGTGGGAAGGTGGCAGGAAGGCGCCCTGGGGGGAGAACACAGAGGACAAAGGCACAGGGCCAGTCAGTGGAGGCTGTACTAAGAATAGTGGCACTGTCTAGATGGAGCCCAGGGTTGCCCAGAAGAGAAGCAAGAGCCTGGTTAGGTAGAAATCCTGACTTGTGCTCAGAAACTGACCAGAGGTTTTGAGCTGAGATAAAAGTGATATAGGTGAGATCTTTGTGGAGTCAGATGGGCTTTGGAACTTACAGACTGTGCTACTTGTCCCTTCTGTGGGTCTGCACTAGCACATAAGTGCCAAGTCACGTCTTGGAGTTTCAGGAGAATGTTCTCTTGCAGTGGTCAGGTTGAGTGTGTTCAGCCACTGCTGTTGGCACCAAGCTTTTCCAGGGCCCGTCTGTGCACTCCTGCGGTGGCAGGGAGCTCGCCATGTGCCCAGTGAGTCAGGAGCTGGAGTTAGATGGGGGCTGGACGGGGCTTGAGAGCTGTCTTCTGGGGTCGAATCCCATTTGGAGGCGGCCCTGGGAAGATACCCCTAGCCTGTGCCACCATCAGCCAAATACGGGGACATCAATCAGAGATTCCTGAAGTAGCCACACAGCCAGCAGATGCCCAATAAAAGAAACATTTATATGAAGCCTGTCTTTGGAGAGGATGGTGCCTTAGTGTGCTGTGCTGCCCTGGGTCTTTGCCCAAGATCTCAAACCTCATGTCTGGGAAAGGTTCGTTCTCCTTGGGGAACAGCCCCTTCAGCCTAGTGTGGGATAACCCTCCCTGCAAGCCTGATGCTATTTCTATGAACTTGGTGTGGAACCTTATACTATGCTGTGTAGTCTGATCAAGATGATTTTAGCATAAAAATTTCAGTGTTATCTTTTTGTCTAGCAGTTTCTCTGTCCAGCAATATGGAGGATCTGAAAACTTTCCTGCTACTAAGTATTTTGAAATGCTGGATTAAATGGAATTCATATCCTGACATGCACAACTAGTTTGCAAGAAATTAAGGGCAGTACCAGGATCCAAAATCAAAAGCGAACCAAAAAACCAGAGCAGTGGACAGGACCACACCATGGGAACTAGGTTAGGGGGCTGCTGACCTGGTGACCGAGGTCCTTGAGTTTTAGTGGCCACACCAAGTTGAGATAAAGCCTTGGGCCTGATCTATGCAGGGGTTGGAATTAAGTCACCAAGCATCAAGTGAAACTGCTTGATGAAGGGCAGCTCCTGTATGAAGCGGGCACTAGAAAAATGCAGTTGGCAGAACAGGAACATGGCTCAGCCTGTCCTTGAGGTTAAGAAAACAGTATTCCCTTAAAAGTGTATAACCACAGGGCTGTCTTCATGTGGATTCAGGGTCAATTTAACACTACCTATGTTATCTAGAAATCACCAAGCCAAGACATGAAATAGACCAGGTGCATTGGCTCACTGCAGCACTTTGGAAGGCCAAGGCGGGAAGGTCTCTTGAGGCCAGGAGCTCAGGACCAGCCTAAGCAACATAGTGAGACCCGTCTGTACAAAAAATTTAAAGATTACCCAGGAGTGGTTGCATGTACTTATAGTCCTAGCTACTTGGGAAGTGAGCCAGGAGGGTCACTTTAGCCCAGGAGTTGAAGGCTGTAGTAGTGAGCAATGATTGCATCACTGCACTCTAGCCCGGTGACAGAGCAAGACCCTGTCTCAACAGCAACAACAACAAAAATGAAATTAACACAGGGGATTCTAGTATAATTAACATACAGAGGCAATTGGCAGAGATGCACTTCAACCCTGCAGGGATGTTTCCTGACTCCAGCGTATACAGCATTCCCACCAATAAAAAAACAGTCTGTATGAATGTAAAATCCAGAGGAACAAGACATAGGAAGAAATAGTCCATTGTGCACAAATGTCAGGAGACAGAATAGACAGGAGGTTTAGACTTCTATAAATCTCCAATCACAGAATTGTTAGATGGCAACTACAAAAGAAATATGCTTGAAATCATTAAAGACTTGAAAGATAAAATAGAAAATGTGAGGAAAGATAATATTCTCTTCTGTATATAAAAATTAAAAGGTTCAAAGAATTAAATATAAAAGCTAAAACTATAAAACTCTTAAAACATAGAAATCTATGTGACCTTGGATTAGGCAACTGTTCCTAGGACACCTAAAACACAAGCCACTAAAGGAAAAAATAGATAAATTGGACTTCATCAAAATTTGGAACTTTTGTGCTTCAAAGGACACTATCAAGTGAAAGGACAACCCACAGAATGAAAGAGAATATTTGGAACTCTAACAACTCAGCAGTAAAAGAACTATAATAATAACACAATTTTAAAATAAGCAAAGAATTCAAATAGTAATTTCTCCAAAGAAGATATACAGATGGCCCATAAGCATATAAAAAGACACTCAACATTGTTAGCCATCAGAGAAATACAAATCAGAACCACAGTGACATACCACTTCACACCCACTTAGAATGGCTTCAATCAGAAGGTCAGATGATCAGATAAGAAATGTTGGTGAGGATAGGGAGAAATTGAAACCCTCACCCTGCTGGTGGGAATGTAAATCCACCAGCAGCTTTGGAAAACAGTCTGGCAGTTACTTCAATGGTTAAACATAGAGTTATCACATGACCCAGTAATTGCACAGCTAAGTAAACTCACAAGACAATTGAAAACTTGTCATGCAATAACTTGTCCACAAATGTGCATATCTGTACTACTCATAATAAGCAAAAAGTGGAAACAATCCAAATATCTGTCAGCTAATGAATAAACGAAATGGCATATCCATACAATAGAATATTACTCAGCAATGAAAAGGAATGGGGTACTTATGTGTGCTACAACAGGGACAAACCTTGAAGATATTTTGCTGAATGAAAGAAAAAGGACCACATATTATATGATCCCATTTGTATGAAATGTCCAGAATAGGCAAATCCAGAGACAGAAAGTAGAATCGTGGTTGTAAGGAGCTGGAGGAGGGGAGGATGGGGAGTGATTGCTGATGAGTACAGAATTTGGTTTTGGAATTAGGAAAATGCTTGGCATTAGATAGTTGTGATGGTTGCATAACCTTATGAATATACCAAAAACTACTGAATTCTGTACTTTAAAATGGTGAATTTTATTGTATATGAATTATATCTCAATAAAAAATAAAAAGAATGGCAAACCATCAAAAAGGACCAGATAGATTTGGAAATGAACCCAAAAAATACTTTTAGAAAAGAGAAATAATGATCATTGCAGGTTAAAAGTCAGTTGGCACATTTTGCAGGCTGGGCACAGTGGCTTACTCTAGGAGGCTGAGACAGGAGGATCACTTGAAGCCAGGAGCTCGAGACCAGCCTGTGCAAGAGCGAGACCCTGTCTCTACTAAAAATGGAAAAATTAGCCAGGTGTGGTGGCACCTGTAGTCCCAGCTACTCGGGTGGCTGTGGCAGGAGGATCACTCGAGCCCAGGACTTTGAGGTTGCAGTGAACTATGATGACGCCACAGCACTCCAGCCTGGGTGACAGAGCAAGACCCTGTCTCAAAAAAAAAAAAAGTCAGTTGACATCTGAGGGCAGGTAAGAGTCAGCGGAGGAGAGTGTTCTGGCTGAGGAGCTAGCAGGGGTAGAGGTGAGAAGATGGAGCTGAAGAGGAGTACAGGGAGGAGTCCCCCAGGGAGGATGTGCTGCCGACAGCTGTCAAGGGAGAGGTGACAGGCTTACCAGAGGGTGCTGAAACCCTTTTTGGAGATGGAGCGAGTTCTTCCCAGAAAAAATAAAATGAATGCCCCAGCTGAGAGAAACTAGAGTACATAGACAGAAAGTCTTCGTTGAGGAAGCCACCCCACGTTTGCCTTGCTGGCTTCTATGGCCCCCATCTCTCAGGTCTGCACATTCTGCTTGAGAAGCCCAGAGGATACCTCTTGAATTGGGCTGCTGTAGGCAATGTCTTGACTACCCATCAGAGGTCCTGACACCACCAGGGTTGATCCCTCAGCAGCTGTGTTTCCATGGTCTCACAAGACCTACATAAGGTGCTAGCAAGACTTGTAGAATAAGGGGCTGTCACGTTTGTCATTCTTAGCTTCGCACTTGAGAGTGGCAGTGAGAAAGCATTCACCTGGGGCTAAGCATCTTGCTTCCAAGACTGCGAGTGTCCGGTGAGCTTCCAAGAGTCTGGTGCTAAATTCTAAGAGGAGATTGGGTTGGATCCTCTTATGAGGAAAATAACATAAAACAAGGCCCAGTACCTTTAACAAAGGCTTTACAGAAAATGCAGAAGCTTTCTTACTATGGCTGGGTTTTTTTGCATTGATTCTCAATTTAAAGCCAGGAGGAACCCTTTAAAACATCTGTCAGTGGAGGTTTTCCTTTGATGTGCAATGTCACGTGGTGGTTAGCAGCAGCACTCAGGGGCCATATGTGCCCTGCAGTTGAGTCCTAGCTTCCCACTTCTGGAGGGTGGAGGCAGTGATCTTGAGATATGTAGCCTTTATGAGTCCATCCTCATGGGCAGAATGGACCTTCCAGGAGAACCTGCCTCATAGGAGATATTCCTGAAGCATTGGCCTGTAAGCCTCTTCCTTTACCTTGTCTCACGGTGAGCAGCACATGTCAGCTTCCGCTGTTGTTCCTTTTTTGTTCCCTGCAGTGATTGGGCAATGAGGCCCCTGCAGCCTGACTGGCACTTCTTAGTCAATAGCCTCTGATGACTCTGGGAGCCAACTGCTAGCATCCCAGGTGCAGAGAGGCAGCCCTGGGTGAACCTGTGGGTCCTCCATTCCACCCTCCCTTAAGGCCATATGTCAGTTACAGTCACAGAGG